AGATTTCCGGGCTTATCCATTGGCCTTCGCGGTGGCGGTGCCGAAGTCTTCGTTCGTCGCTGCGCTTCTCTTATCTGTCCTCCTCCAGGTCGATCGCCACCCAGGCTTGGTCTTTTCGGTTGGCTGGGTTAATCTTCATGCGCCACAAAAATGTCTTCAAAGTGCCCTTGTGGCGCCGGAGCTCTTCGTCTCGTCGGCAGGATCCCTGGGCGACATCTCAATAGAAGAGTCGTTCGCGTTGCCGATCGTCGTGCATCCGCACGAAGTGGCTGATCAAACGCAGTTGCAGTTGTCTCGTCACAGCATAGATGCTGAGAAATGCCGTCCGCTCCAGTAAGTCGGTATCAGGAACTCGGTCCGGCCACCTCAGTCGCAGTATCAGTCGGAGACAGCTGGCTTGGAAGTAGTTGAGTCGGTGTGACTGCCTTACACATCATGAGTATGGTGTTGAGATGGAGAATGTGGCTGTTCCAAACTGTGTTTTACAGATAGACAATGGCTTAGCAGGCTTTGAAAATGCAGCGCGCCACTTCGTCGTCGATTTCGGTGCTGCAGGAGAGGGTACTGCCGAGATACGCGAAGTGGTCCACCAATTGCAGGTGGGTTCAGTTCACAACGATTTGCAGCGCGTTGTGGGGGGCTGTGCCGGATGGCGGTTGATGCATGACCACCGTCTTCTCCGTGTTAAGGACCAGACTGAAGTTGTCGCAGGCGGTGGAGAAGAGATCCAGGCTCCGTTGCATGTCCTCTTCCGAGGTGGTATTTATGGAGCAGTCGTCGGCGAAGAGAAGTTCGTGAACTGCGGTTATAGATACGCGCGATTGGAAGTGCATCCGCCGTTCATTGAGGAGGTTGCCATCCGTACTGCAGGCGATGCGGATCCCGGGACGTTCGTCACGGTAGGCGTCTATCAGCATGGCAGAGAACATCAGACTGAAGAAGGTGGGCGCCAGGACGCATCCCTGCTTCACTCCGTTGGTCACTGCGAATGCCTCTGAGACAACTCCGTTGTCCGTGACTCGCGCCATCATGCCGTCGTGCAGCTGACGCACCATCTGAATGAATCGCTCCGGACAACCGAATTTCTGCATGATCTTCCACAGTCCTTCACGATTCACCGTGTCGAAGGCTTTCGTCAGGTCCACGAAGGTAGAGTACAGGTGGGTCCGCATCTCCTGACACTTCTCCTGTAGCTGACGAGCGGCGAAGATTATATCCGTGGTCCCGCGATGACGACGGAAGCCGCACTGGCTTTCCGGTAGAAGGCTCTCTTCTAGATGATTATTCAGACTGCTGAGGAGAATGCAAGCGAAAATATTCCTGGCGATGTTCAACAAGGAGATGCCTCGGTGGTTTTCGCAGAGCTGACGGTTTCCTTTCCGTTCGTATAGATGTACAATTGTGACATCCTTGAAATCCTGTAGGACTTCTCATTGACACCACATCTCCTGGAATATCGCCGCCAGATGATCCATGAGTTGAAGGCCACCGTGCTTGTAGATCTCACCAGGGATCGCGCTCGATTCGGGCGTTTTCCCGCTGGGGAGCTGCAGCACGGCCGGGATGGTTTCTTGGGGAGAGGGCGGGAGATCGAGGTCGACGTCGGTCTCCACTTGCGGCAGACGGCGATGGCGGTGTCCGAGATGATGGAGGGACGATGGAGGACGCCTCTGAAGCGTTCGGCCCATCACAGTAGAGTTAGGGTCTCCTCGGTTAGTAGGATAGTTTCTTCGGCGCTGAGAAGAGGTCCAGTTGCCTCAGTTGGCGGACCGTAGGCAGCTTTAATTGTGGAGAAAGCTTTCTTCCACTCGTTGCGGTCCGCTTATTCTTCGATCCCCTCGGCATTTCGAGCCGTCCAGGCGTCCTGCATCTCGCGCAGCCGCTGTTTTACAAGGCGACGACTACGGCAGAAGGTTGCTCTGTTGTCGTCGGAGGGGCGGTCGACGTAGGCTTTGTGTAGGAGGTCCTTCTCGGAGAGCAGACTGTTGATGGCGGCGTCGTTTTCGTCGAATTAGTCATGGTGCTAGGGGTGTGCGCGACAGAGAACGACCAGCGCGGTCGACTGGACGGCGTCCCGCTGTTGACCCCATGGGTTCTCCACGGAGGTTCCCATCAGCGCCGGCGGCGACTGGAATGTTGTCTGGCCGTTGAGCTATCTCCCTACCGAAATGAAGATGTTGAGTATGCATATACAATGATGCCATATTCAGCTTATCTGGGGGCCATCTTCCTTGATGTCTCCTGCGAGGCTGTAGGCGGACCCATTTATTAGAGATGACGATGCGATTGCCGGTTCAATCTTCGACACGCGACACCGCTTTTGACAGCAGCCCGTCCCAGTGATCTCACTCGCGGACGAGGACATCATCCGGCGGGTGTTAATGTCATGACCCAGGATGCATCCAGGTGGCCTTTTCTCGTATTGGAAGGCGGAAGGTGTCCGTCGGAATGAGACGGTGTTCTACGCCGACAGCTAACACTAACCCCACTCCCGAACACCCGTCGCCGCCGCCGCCACCACCACCACCAGCGGTGCTTGTGTTTGTGGGGCCGGGTGGTGCATGTCGCGTGCGCAGACAAATTCACTACATATGTCATGCACTCGCCCATTCCCCGCGTGTCTACTGACAGGCCGGGACAGTGACTGTTGCTGGGAAGTGAATGAGTTCGACGATTTAGCGCATATTCCCCACTATAAGCAACCTGACCCTCTTGTAGCTATCGCTGTGCGCCAAAAGCCTTAGCTTTGATTGCTGGCAACTGACGGGATAACTTGGATCCGCAGTCGACCCTTTGTTATGTGTTTGAGTGGAAAAGCCGACCGGTTGTTTGAGAGTCGAGCTGCAATGGCTCTTTTAATGTGGTGTTATGACGCTCCCATTCCATGTGATCCCAGTCAGGTGACGGCACGCCTAGGTGCGTTTATGGCTGCGCCAGCCTTTCTGTTGTTGGTGGTTAAGATCCTGGTCATTTGCTGTGTGGACCAGAGGTGCGGTGTGGAGCCCCAATGCGTGGGCTCGACCGTGCCATCCACCTGCGCCCTCATCGGCCTCCGGTCTTCTTCATTCTGTCTTGACACCGAGTCCAGTTGGGAAAATAGAGACGGCGGTAGACGCTGCGAAAGTCTACATCCACTATAGACTAAATCACGCGCAGTTCTCCGTGCCTGCTTCAGCTTTCTTTGGAGCATACGGTAGACATCGTCGACGGCGTTCGAAATGTGCGGATGCACGTTCTCTGGCGTGTTCTGGTACAGGAATTTAATGACCAGACCATGTGTGGTTCGCGCAGGCGGGTCTTCCTGCTCTTTCAGTCAATGCACTCAACCCCGCCACCTACAGGTTGGTACGCATGGACAGTCGGCTGGTGCATGGAGTAGGAGATAGAGCGAAACTCACACTGGGGAGCCCGTGCATCCGGCAAATAAAAGATTCCCCTCACTATAGTAAATGTAACACGCTTGAATCCATAACGATGCAGTAGTCCATTTTAACAGCTCAAGAAACCCGGGTTAATGGACAGGCACCTGGTAGGTGGGGAGAGTCTAAGCACACATGCGCAGTGGCACCCGACGAAAGCCGTCGCAACTCGTAATCGGTCTCAGGGTAAACAGTACGTCTTAGACGAAGTACTGGACAGTAAGCGAGATGGGCTGAATGCGTAAAAACATGCACGGCCGGGCGGACCTACCGCAGAGTCTCGGTGTTATCTGGAACTTGCCAACTGTAGCAGAGCGACAGGCCTGCAAACTTATTCTCAAATAATTGGCGAAACACATTGGACCCGCTCCAGCTGCCACCTGCCGACTGACAATATCGTCCAGTTAACAACGGATTGATGATAACGGGCCTGGTGCGCGCACAACCGTACCACGAATTCGACTTAGGTCTACTCACTGCGCCTGACCTCAACTGAGCCCGCACAGCCAATAATTAGCTGTCGCCTGCCGATTTTACGCAGTCGGCGATCGACTACCCCTAGACCTGCGTAAAGTGGATCAATCCCAAGTGTTGCATGCCTATTACGGCTAATTGCTTGCAGTTTTGTGGGTATCTGACTGAAAAAAACAGGGTCTTGCGGAGACAGGTGGCCTTCACCCGTCCAGCTAGACAGGTAGCAACCAATTCCTGGTCGTTTTCGATTCCGCAAATATACTTCGAAGGCTCACAAATATTCCAAACGAGCACTCAGTTGCTTTGCAGCGAGTGCTGCGCGGTCCCCACCGGCGCTGTCTCCCGTTCAGCAAGGACGCCAAACTGGGGCACATGTTGGCCATACAGCCGTACCCTCCACCAACAAACTCACTGGTAGGCTGAAAGGAGGCACGCACTTCTCCCTAGAAGACTCCAAACCGAAGAGGACTTGCGAAGACACCCCCACTAGGACCCGTCTCGCATTCAGACTCGTCTTCTATGCAGTTAGCCAGCTCTTGAGTATCAATGGCTGCCCACCTACACTGAAAGAATTCGTGCAGGACGTCCGATACCTGACCACGGCAAGTCCCGCCATGCGCCGAGGGCAGGCTAATTTTACACCGCACATACTCAGACTCTCCCAACAAGGTCTCGAGTGCCGTGACATTAAACGCACAAGCCCTCAACTCTCCCAAACAGATTGGCCCGCCACAGCACTAGCCACTTTTTCCGATTCACAAACTTGGCAGATGGTAGTCTTGAAAGTAGGCTATGGGCGGATTCCACAGCTGGCCATTGAATTAACGTCCTTCCAGAAGCCGTGGAAAACGAGGTCCCAAGGGCAACGGAGCCTGACCGTCAACCGACATGTTCGTAGGTAACGAACAGTGCAAAGGCCCGGTGAAGACTGGCTTCAAAATAACGACCTTCTGAGACGGCTCTTAAGAAATAACGTTAAACTGGCTCCCGAGGAATTCACAACTTCCATACGAGAGGAGCAAGTATGTCAGTCTATAGGGTTCGCTGATTAAAAGAAGATCCACAGCAAACCCCTAAAATAACCGACAACGCGAAAGGATTTTATTAGAGTGGGCTGTGTAACAAAAGACACGGTATAGAACGTCAATAAAGGCACAAATAAAAAGATGGATAGAAAGGGAAAAACGGGATAAGCAGCTTTTTCAGCGAAAAAGGTAGGAAAATAGATGAGCAGAACAGGCAGATAATGAGTCAGACAGAATCTGCCATCTTGGTATAGGCAGTCAGTTTTGCGTCCCGCCAACGCTGGAAAGCCTTCAGCAGGCAAGGCGGTTTTCCAGGACTCCTGGCCTTTAAATCCTCCCCACCGGTCCAGTATAGTTTGAAGCTAATGACTGAGGTGAGCTGAAAAGAACAAGGACTAGTCACGCAATAAGAGTTAATTCGTTGGAATTCAGAGATCACACCGCAGTCAGATTTCAGTAATTAGAAAGGGCAAATTCCAACTTTATAAACAGACTAATAATGTCAGATAAAGCATATTTTTTGTTTAAATGGCTTCACTAATTTTAGGGCGATTCGACAAGGAAAAACGGCACCTCCTAAAGTTGTGGGATGATGCGGGAGAAGTGGACGGACCCTAAATTACCGAAGACCATTTTTGTGCGAAGCAGGAAATTGACGCCGTTTGTGAGATTTGGCTTTTCAATCGTAACGCACATTTCTCCACCCATTTGCACTGAATTTTACTATAGAGCAGAAGCAAAAATTTAGGACTTTTGACTCGCCATACATGGTCCAAGTCACCTGCAGACCACTACTATTCTCAAGGTGGTGTTGGACACCTCGATGGATGAAGCGCCACCATCTGACCTAGGTAACCTAGTCGACTAAAAGTTTGTGTCGGGTGGCAGCTAGAAAGCGTGTACAGTAGATGTGCTATCTCAAGAAATGTTAACCGAAATTCTGTAATGTGTTTTCAATTCGAAAAGACTACTTAAGTAAGGTTCATGTTAATTATCGTATCACATAATGCTAAAAAATTCCAGTCACGTCAGCATATCGTTTTCGAGCGAGCTCCTTATCGACCACCTGCGCTCGAGTAGTATAAATTTTTCCCATTGATTTTCAATGTTCCTAAAATTTATAAACGGCATGCACGAAAATATTTTTCCATCGAATAATTTGGTAGCAAATTACGTCTTTTTCAAAGTTCATGCTTGAAGAAAGAGTATTATTCGGTTTTAAAAGTCCCTAATTGCGGGATTTTTCCCGACCACGAAGTGTCCGATAGTACAGCATCGCATCCGCATATTTATGGATGCTGTTTAGAAAGTGGACAACGTGGTCTACATTCACTACAAAACTTTATGAGCCCCATGTTCCTTTCTCAATAGTATGCAGATATGCATGATTTTCCTTGTACAGAAAGTATACAGCTTACAGTTTCAAAACCTCGGACGCAAGTGTAACGACGGGTCGGGTTCACAACTATTTTCGAATCGAGAAAGTTTTTTAAATCAAAAGATACTCTTTATTCAAGTATAAAATTTGAAGAGGACGTAATTTTCAAGCAAATGAGTCAGGTAAAGAATATTTTGTGCGTGTTTTCTATAAAATATATTTGAATTTATGTGTCAAAATTAACGTAAATAATTTGTGCTGCTTAAGTGGTAATTTCCTGAAAAATATAGTTTGCGTATGCGGCCGAAAAGGAACTCGATCAAAAGCCGGTATCCTAACGTGACTGTAATATCTTAACATCATGCGACGTGACAATTAGCACGAAAACCCAACTTAAGTAATCTTTTTGAATTGGAAGCACATTTCAGAATTTCCGTCAACATCCCACGAGATAGCATACCTACTGTACTTTAAACCGGTTCCACAAGTGGATGGATGACAGGCGGGTCTCTCAAATAAATACTGTTTGCAATTATAAGTATCAGACAGATAAGGAAAATAATTCGGGACAGAAATAAACTCTAGCAGGGTCTTGCCACAATAAGGTGTGGCAGTAGAAGTGACGAATGTGATGCCAGACCTTGCTATTAAACAAGGATCAGTGTAATTGGGTGACTGATTAGAGAGCCAGGACCCTAAGGCGAAGCTGGAATTGATAGGCTCTCCTACCTACTTCCAGGCCTTCAATGGCATCCCCGTCCTCAACAATGATCGCTAAAGCTCGTTCCCCCTACGCCGAAGGTGCGTACACTTTTCAACAGAAGACCTTAGTGGCGTCCATGTAACAGGTATTTTAATTGTCGGTTGAAATCTGTTCGAAAAACTGGAAAATGTGCAGTTTGTAGGGCCCATCAAGGCAAAGAACACGCAGCCTGCTCGAACCACCTTGAAAATCTAATTACCACGAGCAACTTTACTAAGTTAGCTGATACGGTAAGTCTGCAAAGGCCTACTGTAAGTCAAAGGCCCCTAGATGTGGCAAATACCATGCACAAGACAAAATGTAAAAATACCAGAAAGGGAGCTTACGGGCTGCTTAAAGGTGAAAGTTTCTCCTGAGGTTTTGTAAAAGTAAAATATTGGAGATGAGGATGTAGAGTTTGAGCGGAATTTGCATTCTATCAGACGAAGGTCTTCTCGTCGCTTGACAACCGAATCCTCCGGTAATTCGGCAAAGATCTCCTCTAAAATCCTCTCACGAGAACCTAAATCCTAAAAATATGCCACATGACGGAGTATGGTTGCTGGAAGCTCTTAAAGGCACCAAGTTCCTTAACTAAAAACGGAGACAGCAGGGGGAGAAATGCAAAGAGGGACCGTAGGAGTTGCGATGAAGGAAAAGGAAAGACAAAATGAGGATTAGGGAAAGGCAGACAGACGCAACGACGGTAATTTTATAAACCAGTGACTTCCGTGCGCCATTAAAATATAGAGAATGCTTCGAGCTGTGTGATTTTAAAACCCTTCTAAGGGTAGTTTGTAGTACAGTAATCAAACACACTACTATGCTTACGATGTTGGATAAGGTTGCAGGTAGTTTGGTAAGGGTCCTAGTGTTATGCTAAACGTCACCTTAACGTCCATCGTTCAAAAATACCAATTAAGGTTTTGAGTTATGGCTTGCGTAAGTCATCACTTTATTGCTGTGAACAAAGGTAGATAACAAGATATTTCAACAATTGTCCCGCAATACGTGCAGTTTCTAGACTGCGGGCACTCGTGACCCCACTCGTTTAATCGACGTGCAGAAAAGAATGCCACTAGAGACGAGCATTCGAAAATATAGTACTTTGTGTCGTCAGAGATATATATACCCCGACCTGAGGGGCTACAATAATACTGGTACGGAGTCTTCGGTCCCCTCGAAAGCTTTACTTTCCAGAGTGATCTGTGACTTCTTATATCGAAAATCTGTATTTACTGGTTGTCAGTGTCACCGATTAGTTTCGCGCCTCATGCTTCTGAGTTTGCAATACCTTCTCCGACTGCTCATGCATCGGCTCAATATATTGACCGAACTATGGCTTTCATCGTGTTCTCGTCCTCTGGCAGTACTAATAAAAACAACACTCAGCGATTATTCTTTATTTTGGATGCTTGTTGACTATCCCAAGTCGACCGTTTGTACAAAATGACAAGCCTTTCTGCCTTCTGGTCTTCCTTCGCTTTATGAAACCTCAAATAGGCGGCTGAGCAGAAACTTCTCATAACTGAACAATGCCTTTAAATGCTTCGCAGACCCAGCTAATGATACTAACAACGGTATTTTCGCCACTGAGACCCATGCATGTTCTTTCTAGCCGGGTTTTAGTAACACGGCTTCCGCCCTTCTTTGTGTAGCCCCCTCCCGCTTCTTTCGAGTAGAAAGTGCACTCCCCCGGTCTGTCTAGACCACCCAGTACGTCAGTACCCCACATTCTGGACGAGTGGGTAGACTGGAGGCGCGGTGACTACTACAATGACGGGTCAAGCCAGAGGGATCGATGCTTTGTTCGCATCGCCGCAAAACTATTCCTCCAAGGTCACCATGCCGTCCGGCAGGAAAGGGGAGAGTGGCGGACGATCAAGAATGGGATAGCGAAACGTCTGGGTGTCGGAAACTGTCGATTATCAGCAGATTCCGGATAGCGGTCGTCTACGTACACAGCACCGATGCAAGATCACACATGAGATGCGCGCGTCGTGATTGGTTCGCACCCTCTTTCGTTTTGTGAGGCAAACGCAGACTTCAAACACCCATCCATACTGTGAGGAGGGTTTTAAACAAATGAGGTCTAAAGACAAGAAGATTTCTCAAGGTGCCGTTTTTCAATGGATAACACAAACGATCCAGCTTGTACGCTATGCCCGCCTACCCACTATGCTACGGTTTACGTGGCGTTCTCCTGAATGTAACGAAGTCCTCTGGGGCGATGAATGAGGCTCGACTAAAGCCTAACCGACGAGCCCGGGCTTGGAGAGCGGACAGCGAATGCTTGTATAGTAGAAGTAACATCTTGCCTGCGCAAAACTGCGGTTCTCCACCCTTGGTTGGAAAGGGGTCTAGTTTTCCTTGGCAAAAACGTTGTTGGTCTGCACCACGTTGTGTCCCACTAGAACCGCCTTTTAAAAGTGACGCCCCGGACAATCAATGCTGGCGTAATCAGGGCTTCAGGGTCTCATGGCTACTTCGGTCTCTTTTTCTCGTCCCAATAAAGCGTGTCTGTAGCTACCTTTGGCGAATGACTTCCAAAACTCTGGCACTGTAAAAGCTCTCCGAAGTCAGGTTTGCTCTCATGAATATACGTGGAAAATGACAAAGCGAGCACAAACCTCGTATGAAGAGACCAGTTAGAGCTGTAATTCTGCTGGAGGGGGGAAACAGGAAGAAAAGTTTCGCAAACCTACCTCACGAGGAATGGGCATAGTTTGCTCGGCATCCTTCTCAAAAGCCATCGTATTGAAAGCATACTTCGCCGCAATACTATCGAAAGACGCGGGTGCCAGACAGACGTTGGTGCAGTTGGTATCTCCGAAATGGATATGTCCGAGCTCTCCTGGGAAAGCCTCCTGCTGTTGCTGTTGCACCTGGGGTTCTGTCTTGGAGGACACACAGTAAATACAGCCTATAAATGTGTAGAGCTGGCGAGTCTGGATGCGCTGACAGAGGTCGGCTGTCCTGGCAAACACGGTTTCTCGACTACCCTGATGGGGAATTTCGGGAAGCAGCGACAAGGAATTGCTTGCCATTGTCCATACCGCGTAATCATCCAGCCGGAGGTAGGCAGACAGGTGCGACAGGTTGTCAGAAGTGGCCGCGAGCAGGGTGACCTCGCGAAGCTGCATGACAGAGTCCAGGTCGTTGAGGATGTCCAAAATCATCGTCTGAATGACAGATGGATGGGTACTATCATGAGCCGTGGTCGAAATCCACCTTCCAGTACGTTATCTTCATCGAAATAACTACTCTATCCGATACTATAAGTACTACCACCACTATCATCACCGCTAATGAAGCGATGACAGGATCACTTTGGGGGATGAGAAAAGAAACGCGAGTAAAGTTAAGGAGGGCAGTCGTGGGGAATTGAGTTAGTGCACACAGAAATGTTAACGATAGGGTATAAGACCCACAAGTAGATGGTCACTCCAAAAATATACCCTTAAATTCTGTGTGACTGTAAATATCACTTATTACGTACCGCTCCTATTCTTCAAAGTTTCCTTCCCTTCTTGACTAAATGTTAACTTACCACAGGCGCTTTATTCGAAGTTTGTTATTTTTTGATAATTGCCTTTTGTTTATTTTTTTTACTATCACGTTCACTTTCTTTGCCAAATGACAGCGTACGATAAGACTTTTGGCAGAAATCTATCTATTTTCCGTGTCTTCTTGCTCTCCGTCCTGTTTGTTGTCCCATCCGTGAAATCCCCTCTACCGCCATTTAGCATACAACACGGTCACCGGTTAGTTCAAGTTAATTGGGGGCCCTATACCCTATTGTTGCCAAAACTATTTTTTTGTACGTGGACCGATTATGCACAGTTCCAAATAGTCTTTAGGCGCGAACCTGACGAAGTACCGAAGCTTGAAACTGTTTGCTCTGTCTATGGATTACTGCCTTAACGTGACCTATTTGATAAAATCGAACCCCAGTCTTTCCCATAGTTCCGAAGCGGGCTCATGGGGATCCAGGTTCTTGATCGCTGCGACACTCGGAGAGCGGACGAGCAAAACAGAGTGGTGAATAATTGTAAGACTGTTAGCGGTTAAATTAAGAATTCAGCGGCATGTTAACTGCAGACCGGTTCTCATATTTTCGAGAAAATGATGGCTTACGTGTCTGGTTAACTGAATAGAGTCGGTTTTCAGCACACTGGTCTACGTTTCCTCAAGGCTGAGGTCTACAAAACAACACCTTGCAAATCTAGAAATATGTTGCCTGTCAAGAGAACGTTATCGCGAACAAGAGTGGAAACTAGGAAGCCAGTGTTGGGTAGGGCGCGCATAAACCTGGAATGCCTGCAGACTCACACCAATGGCTTTCGATGTCTTGTGCGAGTAGACTTGACGATGAAGATGAAGGCGATGGGTGAAGGTACGCAACACGTTTTCGATCTCACTGTCCCGGAAGGACATGTGCCAACAACCAGACGACTCTTCCCCTCCGCAGCCGCTTGCTGCTTTTGAAGGATGGAAGACGAGACGGTAGAACCAGAGGAAACGTTCGAGTTCCAGCGTACTGCAGCCCTGGCCCCAGCCAAGATAAAAGGAGTCCCGCAGGATGTAGTCCCATTTGTCGACGTCCATGCCGTTTGTAGAATTAGACAAGAGCTGGGTAGCGGAAAACGAAAAACCAAGAAAATGCTACAGATGGACAGTCTAGAAGAACCCGGCGCTTCCTTCGCCTTTTCCGAAGGCATTGAAATGGGTGAAGACGATAGGTGGAAGGTAGCTGAAACTAGTTGCTTACCTCAAAAATGAAAGACTTTTCCTTGAGAGATTTCTAGAATGGCAGAGAAAGGAGGTGGTGAGGACGAGAAACATGCAATGGCAGTTGCAACGGGAAGTGGGCAATTTTATAAAATGTTGGTACAACGTATTTGTGAATGCCCGTGATGCTGCATATTGTGGCCATTCGGGAAAGTCTGCCTCTACACGCATCCATGAACATCAAATAGCAGTTAAAAAACGAGACCACGTGGCCATGCACACTCTAGACATTGGACGCACCTTCGCATGGGATAAAACTCGCATCGTTAGGTGCTGCCCCTCTAAAAAAAGGCCGAGAGCTTCCCGAAGCCATGCCCTACGACGAATTAAGCATCAATCGACACACTGAGTTAGATGCCACTTACAAAAATCTCTGGGAAAGTGGAAGAGAGGAGAGCAAATCGGTACCGAATGACGTACACAGCGGCCGCTTACTGGCGCAAACCCCAAATGGATATCGATTTTCCAGCACGTTCGAAATGTTTATTGCTATTTACACATTTGCTCAGGTCTGACGACGACTTGGGAGACCGGTGTCGAAAATTTAATTAATAAAGTTTTCTAATTTTCCCAAAGAACATATGTGCCTTCAAATATATACATATATATGTACTGGAAGATGGGCATCCCAAGAAACATAATTCGAAGAAGAATGAGTCCTTTGGGAAAATGAACAAACTTCATTTCGTAAATTTTCGAGTCTGGTTCCCCAGCTCGTCTTCAGATGTGTAGTAAGTGTGAAGAAACAGTTAAAATTTAAACACGCCCAAAAAATCGATATTGCTCTGTCATGGCTGAGGATGGGTTGATGCTGTGGGCTGATGTCACGTCTTGATTGGCTATTACCTTTTCCATTTCTCCTTGAGATTTGTGTACATGGCGTCAAGATCGATGCGTCGATTGATGCATGAATCATCAGAGTGAATGGCCTCTTGGAATTCCCGGCCTTTCTTATGTGAGCAGTAACCGAAAATGCGTGTTTTATCCCAAGCGAATTTGTGCCCCGTCTAAAGGGTATGCATGGCGACTTGGGATAAGTAGTCCCACCTCTTCACTGCCAATTGGTGTTCATGTAGGCGTGTAGAGGCGGATTTTCCGGTTTGACCACAATACACTGCATTACAAGTGCCACGTGGAATCTTATAGACTACTTCTTTTTTATCCAAATAGCCAACCCTATCCTTAGGGTGTACAAGCTGATTGCGTAGCGTGGTAGTCGGTTTGTGAGCCACTTATATTTCGTGCTTCCTAAGGTGTCTTTCAACTAGTTCAGGCACATTTTTAATGTAGGGAAGCGTTCGCCAATGTTTTGGTTTTGGCGTCTGATCGGAACAATCTAGTTCCTTCTCTCTTTCTTTTGATTCCTGCTGTTTCATGCATCGGCGTACAAAATCTCTAGGGTAGCCGTTTTGGGAAAATAGGTTGAACAGGTAATTGAGTTCTTCTTTGTACCCTTCGGTCTCAGAGCAATGTGTCTTTGCTCGATTAAGTAGGGTGTTAACAGCACTCCGTTTGTGAGCCATAGGGTGGCTGCTCTCGTAATGTAGGATTACTTCCGCGTAAGTTTCTTTGCGGTATACTGATGTCTGGAATGTCCCGTCAGTTTTTCGCTGTACGAGGACATCAAGAAATGGGAGTTTGCTGTTAACCTCTCTTTCGTGCGTGAAGGTCATTCACGGTAGTGCTGAGTTGATGGCGTTATGCAGCGTTTCTAGATGATCTCTCTTGACTATGACAAAGGTGTCATCTACGTAGCGTACCCACAATTTGGGCTTGAATAATGGTAAGGTAATAGCCTCTAATTTCTGCATTGTGACCTCAGCCAGAAAGCCAGAAATAGGTGACCCCATAGGAGCTCCTTTCAGCTGTCGATAATGTTCATGTGCGAACGAGAAGTTCGTTTCCAGACATAGGTCTAAGAGTTCAAGCAAAGCAGATGCAGGAACATTGATGTCGTAGGATTGTAAGAGTTCTGTGCACTGCCTTGCCAAATCGAGTGGTATGGACGTGAATAGAGAGATGACATCGAACGACACCATTATCTCATCTTCAGCAATAGTGAGTTCTCTTATCATGTCTAGGAATTCAACAGAATTCTCGATTGAAGTCTCACAATCCTTTGTAAATGGATGAAGTTTATGGAATAGCCAACCCGTAACTTGAACTTTATCAACAAAAGACCACGACCAGGCCCTTTTTAAGTGGAAAACTTATTAGTGTCCTTTATTGACTACGAAATATACGGAATACCGATCCTTATTCTGGAAGAGCATTTACTTCCGCGATGAGGTCTTACTGTCAGACAAGTCTACGAAATCGACCCATATGGTCATGTGGGAAGAACTTCTCAAAAGAGCATACTGCGCCGACGGCAACCATTAAGAACTGCCGGCGGTTAGTGGTTTGGATAACTATCGAATTCGGAGAGCGGCTAGTCTGGCGGTCGACCACGGACACCATCAACAGCAAGATCTTCGTCAAAAATGTGAAGGATGTTTTCGGTTACAACATCCATGGACGCCGATTTGATACCATAATTTTACACGACAATCCCCTGCCCATCGTTCTAAAGAAATGAGGCTGATAACGCTTTCAACCGTAAGCAGACTTCTTAGACAACAGTCAGCCTCTCCACACGCAGCCTCCGGTCGAATTTTAGCCCTGCCAACAGCCCGGATCTCAATCCTATCGAAAATCTCTTCGCACTTATCAAAAGACATTTGCACAGGGCAGATAAAGAACTTCCAACGCCAGAAAAGCTTGATTTTGTGCTAGATGATCACATGAAGCAATCCACTATAGAAAACCTGGTCATCTCTATGTCTGGGGGACTTTCAGCTGCGATAAGTGCAAACGGACAATCAACAAAGTACTGATCTTTTGTACCTGTTATTATCTTTCATTATTTTCCCCATTTCATGCGACTCTTCCTTATGCATCCTTATAGTTAGTCATATTTAAACAATTTATAATATAGCCATTTTCTGAAATTCTAGTCTAGTGAACATCAGTGATTTTTACGTTAGGAAACATTAATTTATGAACCAATCTATGCCTTCTTTATAAGGAAGGCCGTTTTACCCTACTGCAAGACTTTGGGAAAAGCAGTTTTGGCGGCTTTTGCGTTATAAGGAGGTTCTTGTGTTAAATAATGACATTACACGAGTTAGCATACCTACCGTATTTATGCATATATGTCAAAGAACAGGGTCTCTCCCAAAAAGGATAAGCAAATATTAATCTGTTGACTTTAGTTAGGACACAAATGGGTCAGTTTCGAGCGTCCTAGACAGTGGCCATTAAGTTGTCAAGCTTCCCCAACTGTGTAGTGTTACGGCAAGGCGATCAAAGCTGCTCGTCAGCACATCTGGGATGGTGGGGAGAGTTAGCACAAGTCGAGACTACCCTGTACTACGCTCACAAAAGATACCTGCATACACTGCAGCTGTAATGGCCAAAATCGATCCCGAATACCCCACTAAGATAGTAAAAGAAGCATATGGTGATAAACAGAGCGTCCCAAACTCACAGACTATCAGACGCTCCGAGATAAATTCGATAAACATCGGGGTGAAGCTAGACCTTGGTACACCTTCATAGGTTTGGCACGGGAATATGGACCTCCCAGTACTACAGGCGGCCTTGCCCTAAATTTCCGAGGAATAAGAGTTAGGAGGGTTAGGGTTGGGGCCAGGAATGAGAAGGCTAGAGTTAAGATTAGTGTTGAAACTAAAATTAGGACGCGGGCAAAGGCATCCCAATACAAGTTAACGCGAGGCCACCTGTAGTACGGGGGAACCATATTCCCGTGGCCGACATCTTGCTCGGAAGCGAGGATGATGGCTAAGATTTCACCGGAGAAGGATGATGATGTGGCATGTAACACTGTAGACAGTAAAACAAACATGAAGATAGCTAGATAACGAAGCGGCACCAGCCAATTTTTCGTCTTAAAAGTATGAATACTTCGAGCGCTAAACTCCCTATTTATTTATAAGCTAGCTAAAAAGCCTTCGTCATTCCTCATTCTACTTAGGTTGGTGTTCGCGTTTGAGCTGTCCGCCAGTCAACTACCTAGCCACGGCTGACAACTGCCTTGCTAAAAACGCTCTGCCCTCCGAATAAACACGCTAATTTAGTCATGCGGATGCCCCGGGTGTTAGTGAAAAGTGTGGTAGCTTGTCTACGTCAAAAAAGGCCAAATTAAACCTTTACTACTGAAACCTAGAATTCCCAAAACCCTGAAAGTCCCTCCCCCTCCCTCAGAAACATCTGTTGGAGAATCCTGAATCCATTCAGAGCAGAGTTAGTTATTTTTAGGTTCATTAAAACTAGAAAACTTTCCCAGGTAACGCACTACTAAGCCCAATAAAATCGTTACTACTTGGTGTGGGTAGTTGGCGAGTATGAACTTTAGTCGTGGTAGAAAAGAATGGAGATTCGCAACAGATTTTCGGAATTGCCTGCCTATCGAAGTCGAGATGTCCTGACGTCCTTTAGGCAAAAGTCTTTATACTGTCTAGAAAATTATGCCTCTCGCGTTTGTTCCTGTTCAATCACGACCTACCGATAGATCCTTCAGAAAACTTTGGAGAATTTAACTAAGAACACCGTTACATGCTGCTTCGGATCTTTTCAATTGCTTTGCAGTATTAAAAGTTTATACACGTGTCCCCAACGCGTCCAAGGAGCGCTTAACTAGACGCCAACCAGCAGCGCTGTCTTCAGTCTGCCGGCAGCCCAAAACTAACCACTCACCGAGGTGAACTGATGCCGATCAGCATGCGGACAATGTCATGGGCTAGCTTTGCCTGGATTGATTGTTAGTTGAGGCCCACACATAGACCGTACACGCTGGTCATGCTTGCAAGTGCCTGACATAACATGCTTTGATAGTGCCTTACTACATAAACCCCTAATCTAAGCGTTTAAACCTTAAGACGGAACACATTATACTTGGGTCCCCTATCTCAAAGACAAAATGTGAACTAATTTATGCTGCAGCAAGCAGTGAAAGGGATGAACCCAGCATTCTGATAGTGGCATGGACGCTGGCTTATATATCCGGTATGATAGATGAAGTTGACGTAGTCACTTTTACTGCTAGAGGTCCTCCAGACTCCCGAGGACCCACCTCTGCCTGGGCGCCTGCTTAAAAACCAGTAAGGTTTCCGCAAGCCGGCTGTGGGTGCTGCGTCCCACGGAACTCAGAGCGTATTCCTCACTATAAACTATCTGACGTGCCTTTAGGCTATCACGGTGCGCTAAAAGCCGCGACTTGGAAGAATGTCAACCGACGAGATAACTCGATCCTCTTTTCAGAGCGGAGAGTTAGGCCGCAATGGTTCCCCCTTAACGTAGTCTCCATGGCACTCCCGTTCAGCTGGGATCCCAGCCGACCATTTGTTGGTTCTGTGGATATATAGCCAATCGTGCGCGCACCAAGTGTGTGTGGGAGGCACAGACGGACTGATTAGCTCTGTCAGCCACTGCGCCCAATCCCACTTCCGGTCTCCTTAAGTCAGTCCTGACACCGGGTTCAGGTGAGTGAGGGAGGGGATAGCCGTTTGTCTGGCATAAGCCATGAAGAATGATCGCATGAGTAACTACGACAGTTCCAAACGTGAAAGCCACTATAGCGAACCAAGCCATCACATGTAAGTTGAGCCACACAGCTATAAACGAGGAGTTATCCATGGGAGAAATTTTACGTCAAGGCAAAAAAGCGTCACTAACCAACTGCTCCTCAGATGGCCTGCCCTCTATCAAGGCGCAGACTAGGTCCAAATCAACGGCTGCCTCAGATATGCTAGCGGCCACGTCTGGATTTTGTTCAACAATCCGCCGAAGAATTCGGCCACTCAATTTTTCGTGCTAAAAGGCACAAGTGTGCGAATATAATGGGTGCATAAGGAAAGCATTTCAATGTTGAACAAGGCCACAATTGCCTCATCAAGCCTTCTAGTATCGTACAGGATGCTACAATTCAGGAGGGGAAAGAAAGCATTGAACAGACACATGCAAGAACTAAAAGTGAAAAACGCAGTAGAGGTGGGACACTAGGTCCCAGCAAATTTTCCTCATCAAAGGCTTTCTCAACAAAGTAACTGATGTCAAACAACCATGCGGGGCCGCAGTTCACTGTGGAAAATATTTCAAAAAAATTTCGTTTATGGGCCTACATTAGAACATATTGAGGCATAATCTTGTCACAGGCCAAGCAAGTACCCCAAAACCAGGTCCCATGTGTCAACTATTCACGACAGATCTATGTAGGGGGAGGACGCGAGACCCAGAAAGACGCGGCCTGCAGGCAACGCGACACGTCCAGAGGCGGTTGGTAGTGGAACGGCCCTCATAGAAGGCTAGTTGTGAAACGGGCAAGATATTGGGTCTGACGAACAGTCAATCGCGGACTATGCAGCTGCAAAATCCGCAACCGTCGCCCGGCACTAGCCCGGGAAACCGGTTATAGTTATGACAAGGTCATCATCTGAAACGTTATTATAACCTGACGAAAGTCAGTCGCCATCAAATAGGGTCTCACTTGCCATCGTCCTACAGATTAGGGCCCCAACCACAGGCATGGGAATCGAGGACTTCACCCGCATTGTCCGCACAGATTTTCATGAGCACTCGGAACTGAAGCAGTTGACTACGGGGTCGGTTAAACCCGCAGTGCTGCTACCATAGAAACAAGTAAAGCAAACAAGCGCAACGTCATATATGACAGTTTAAAGGTAAAAGGGCAGTAACTAACAAGATTACTAGATTAAACAGTCCGGGCGCCATCGTGTAGCGATCAGCGCGTCGGAGTTTCCACAAACCAAACTACTAAATTATGTAAGTAGGCGCATGCAGTTTACAACAAACATACTAACTTCTCCGTATTACTAAGGCGTGCAACCGAAATTTTAGGGTGCTAACTAAAAATATGACTGCAATACCACTTAAAAGCTCCCAACTCAACGTGTAAATTGGCAAAAAATCAGCTGCAGTATGAGCGACATAGCAATTCTTAGCGACCTATAAATCTTGCGGGTACGAGACGGCTCGCGTCCAGTCGAAAAAATGCACTTGACACCATCTGGATGGAGCCTTCGATCGTTCAAGATAGTTTATTATACGTCCGCATATGACGATAATTCTTCGAAAAATGAGGAAGTTAGGCAGAAGGTAATGTAATCAACTTACAGTGGCAACGCGGTACTTTGGGCCACCGCTCCTCATGAAGTACTCCCAGAGGTGGGAAAACGGCCCGTGACCTATAACGTTTCACAGAGCGGCAAAAAGGCTTTGGCAAACACCAAACGACTACGTCCTGGGGAGATTATTATAAGCACATTATTGATTAGTGTTATCCATCAAAAGTAACAGTTGGAAAATTACATACATGCTTATGGACACGCATAGACGATAGACGTTTACTCTTAGCCTTACACACTCAGAGGGGATGGTAAACTTCCGAAGCCCGCAATAAACCGATTCATAAAACCAGCATACGCCAGGAAGAGTCAAAGACTGAGGGCAGAGAGGGGGGTATAATTGACTTTTAGAACTACTGTGGCATAAGTGCTGCAACGTCCTTTGTTATCGACATTTTAAGATTGCGTCAGTAGGCGCGACAAGGAGAAGAGACGGAGCGAAGCCAGGCTTCCACCGGAACGTGGATACTCCAGAAAGACTATCACCAAGACACAAGCTTCAAGTCCACCATGGCTTTACCGACAAAGGCCGGGCGGCTGATTATTCGACTGTGCAGCGGATTTCGATCCCATTTATTATGAACCCCGTAGTAAAAACAGTTAGTGCGTATGCCGAAAAAATGAGTTTCATAATCAAAGTCCATTGGCAGTGCAACACCGAGTGTGTACTGCGCCAAGATGACTTTTTACATCCACTTACTATTCCGTCCGGCGCCGTGTCCCGTCGATAATTCTATTTGACATGGTTATTCCGTGGGTTTTCGGAAGGACTAATGTGCGTCTGACGATGCCAAATTTAAACCCGGATCGACTACGACCACACTGCCGATGTCGCCCTTAGTCCGGCGCCGCAGTTGGGTTGGAGGCGGTGGAGAGGTCAATCCAAAACCTGGCTCCAAAGATTTCGTGGGAGTATGGATTTAGCTCACAGACTTTCGATATTCGCTTTTCGTAACTAGAGAAGAAAGAGTAGAGCTGTTATTGTAGAAATGATTGCTGTGCATGATTTGGTTTCCAGCTGACGGAGTAACTCGGTCCTGCTCAGGGCTAAAGGTCAAGCTGTAGTGTCTTTTCCTTAATGCGGCCTTTATGACACCCATTTACGTGATATCCGAGCTTCACCCACTCCCTCCTGAACGAGGCCTTACACGTGTGAAGTCAGAGACCACTTCATCTTTGGTATGTCCAAACGGGCTGGTCCGCTTGATGTTGTTTTACCATATGAAAACGGTGGGTGGAGTGAGACAATATAGTGAGATAGGCACCCGCAAGTGTGCCTCATTGTGAACAAATCCATGAGCGAATCATTGCGGAGCCGCCTCATGGGACAATGGCAGACCTCGTCGTTTCGATGATCAACCCATTCATCGTTGCGCGTACAGAGCTACCACCCACGGCATCATCGGAGCTATCCGATTAACATTAACATTAACAAAACATGAGCAAGTAAATACATAGGCATACAGACAAAACGTGAGGGCCACATGACATAACAGCCTTACCTAGGTCATGACATAATGCAGCAAGTTTTACCGCTGTACATTCCGCTTCAGTCAAACGAACAGCCTCACAAGGTACATCAGCTTGTATGGCCCGAAGCAATCGGCTGATCAGATGATAAGTACCTAAGGAATGTTCGAATCTAGTGTGGGTGCAAGTAGGAAAAACGAAGACAACGGGACCCAGTTGTTTTATATTACGGAGGCGTTGGAATTCAGCTGTATCAATCACCTTGAGCATCAACGGCTCCACTTCAATAAGACCGTGTACTGCGTCCTGAAATACCTGTCGGAGGATGAAGTGTAAAGTAAATCAGTTCGGCCTTACGTAATGCGAATGAGAGGCGACAAAATACTAAAGGGCACAAGTTTGATAGCTAGTCACTGGAGCTAAACTGTATACCGAATCTAAAACGACGGCATTCAGTTCAACGAAAGAATGCCCTAAAGAAACATTCGTCGGAACAGAAAAAAGAGTTCTCTAATTATAAGTCTTAGTACTGTGTGAAGTGGCCTAGGCTGGTAACCATTGTTACATATGACGTCGAATGCTAACCGGAAAGGAAACATGATTACCTTTGTTGGTTTCTTTGAGACCATGTTTCAGAAATTCGGGGGAGAGAAAACTTCAGAGTAGCCCACGGCAACGGGGGATTCGGGATCCTATCTAAAAGTAAAAACTTTAAGCTGTGCGTGAAACGGCGAAAAAAGATCGGGAGGCAAGGACAGTGAAGTTCTCTAAGTCAGCACATGCAACCAGACATTGATAAATAAAAAAGAGAAGTTTATTAAAATTCACCAGCATGAATTGTCAATTTTAAATGAGGCAAACCACTTTTAAGAGGAGACATCGCATGCACCAAAAGTGCACTTGGTACACTGATTTCCCGAATACTACCTTTGAGTCGCCAGTCCCACCATATTGGTATACTTCCCAAAAGGCATACTACATATGCCAGTGACTCTAAGCTGAACAAAGGCAGGTCTGATCCAAATTTTCATCATTATTTGGCAGAAAACTTGTCTACGAGAACTTTAAAGACAGTATGCGGATAGACTGAAGTAATGTTCAATTACTGTGCAAAGGATATGCGGTTTTGGTTACATACTTGACGGGAAATTCAAATAAAGGAAAAGGATAGGCCATTTAAAAAAGTATACACAAGAGACTGACGGCACCAATCCAAACTTTGATATGCAAAAGGACTTCAGAGGAGGTTGCGATACTGTCTTTCAATCAGAATCTACAAGAATGGGGAACTCGAAATGATGGAGCGCCGAGCAAAAGTATAGAAAAAGGAAAGCGACAGGGCGAGAAGCCGTGGATGTAAACTAACGAAAGCGTAGACATACAAACCACAAAGCGAGGGGAAAACTGTAAAAGGAGACGCAAACAACCATCAGGGGTGTCCATGTATATAGTCTGGACGGTGTGATACTGTTATCCTAAGGCCATCCGAGTAGCCGTAGCATATAAATTAGTGAACAGGGAAAACATTCTAAGCGGTCCAACACCCCGAAGTTTGATCGGACGGCCGAAACGACGGCGTCAGGCAACATGATTCACAGACAGACATCTAATTGTGGAAACTTGCTGATCTGTCTCGTTTGCTCGGGTTTGGCATGAACAGCATAAGGTCGTGATAAGACTCACATGTAACTGAATTCCGAATAAAATGATAACATGTGAGTGGTAAGAGCTAAAGAGATGGAGGAGACATCCGCAAACTCAAAAAGGTCAAAAATATAAACACAGTCTGAGACAGATACACCCTTTTAAAACGTGGACTAATTACAGTCAGGACTTTCTTCGGTCAACCAAAAGTGAGATCGGTTTAATTAACGCCCTAGTCTGCAAGTAAAACACGGTGCGCTGGGAGTACGAGAACGGGCAAAACAAATTTTCTGCCCCTAGAGAATCGGTGCACTTGTCACCTTAAACAAGGTACAACCCCTGAGGGTAGTTGCTACCTCAAGAGGAGCATGAACTCGACCGTACTGTTCGATCGAATTTTGTTTTCCGGAACTGAAGAGCAGTTTAACCCCATCTTTATCTTAATATTGGGCGCCTGGGAAACAAGCGCCAGGCAGCACAAGACAAACTCAAGGCCGACGGATCGAAATCGGTCACGCGCCACATAGTCGACCTTATAGCTGTTAAAGACAAACAAACATGCATCAAATTCGACGCAGCTCTCTATTTAGGCATTTCTGCCAAGCTTCTGGGCCGCCTAAAGGTCGCACAGGTGCACTTAAAATTGAAAATGGCGCAGTAAGACGACGGTGCTATGAAAAGGTGTTGTTGCTGCAAGCATTTCCCCCTCTGTCCTGAATCCTCTCGACTCCGTACCAGCTATCCCTAGATCAGTCAGCTCGAAGTCACTTTTAGAGATTTTGCCGTCCCAGTTTATATTTATTTGTCTGTCATCACACATTGTCTTTGACAGGACTTCGGGATACAGCTATAAACTAACGTCCATCAATGTTAGTTAACCCGGTAGCGTTTTGTGCATATTTCAAAATCAAATCGAAATTCGAATCTGGTACACTCCACGTGATACTAAAAACTTATAGGCCTAGTTTCCAAACCCTCCCTAGAGAACAATAAGGTTAAGGAAACTCTTCAGTATGGCGGGGATAATGAAATGAATGTGCCACCAAGATGATATATCGGCTTCTAAGGGCCCATAGTTGACGATTTGTTCCCTCATTGAGGTAGGTTTTAAATTCGCAAGCTCTTTTATCAGCTGGATCGTTTATCACCACTTACACCTTTTCTCATTTCGGAGTGACCTTTTGCTCCTTGAAAACCTCACGAATAATATCTGTTCTTTACTTTTCTGTAGACTGGATTCCAAATCGTTCAACATGCACCTGAATTTCTGACTACGAATGTTTTTCGCTACTCTCCAATTTTTCTATCTCAATACTCGATCGTTATTCTGAAACAGTCAATAATTAAGGGTCCAATGTACCAGTCACCACTCGTTTATACACACTAGTTTTTACACTAGCAGCTATTACATAAGCACTTACTCGCTTAGATATTTTTTGTGGATATTTTCATTTCAGAGACAGTGCTATGCTTGCACCAAATAAAAAAGTTAACACCATAATTTCATGAATGGTAATACTGCTGCCTTTAACGACTTCTGCATTTGTTTCCCTGGTTTTTACTGGCTACCGTGGGTAGGGACCGACCAGGTTTATTAATACATGTCGAACGTTGCACAATCTTAAACTGACGACTATACCCTGTCTCCCATACTGCTGGCAATTACCACGCACGAAGATATATCATGGTCTAAACCAACTGGGCTGATAGTGCAGGCACGATTTTTGTGTTGATAAGTGCCTATAAGCAGTACACAGACAGGCTCTGTCGAACGCATCGATGGTCTTTGTGGCTGCTTCTGTTTCTCCCTGTCCCGCCACTCATCTCCAACTTTGGCTCCACGAGACTGTGTTCGTTATGGGGCCTTACAGGTGATCGTACTTGCCTATCGAGCTAAGGCAGACGATGGTCTCCGGAGTTTGTGTATCTTCATACCTGCTCATGCCCAGACACATATTCGAACTTCCTCCCCACTCTCAAAGCGTTCTATGGAGAGGGCGACATGCAGTCTCGTTGCCAAACCTACAGGTGGTCTTCTCACTAAAGACAAGTCGTGACCCACAGCAAAATTTGAGAGCCGCATGAGATGATTAAACAGCACCATTTGGAAGTAGCTCTACCTCTCGCGGGTAAGGGGCAAAAAATTGTCATAACATTGTTGTGAATCACGTCGTGGACAAGTTTAATGTGGTTCGTGGATACAAACAGAGCAGTCGAAAAACTACAACAAATAACGACTTCCTTCCCCTTTCCCCTGCCTCCAAACGGACTGTCACATTGACGCTACTCAACAGTGGTCTTCTCCTGGACATCTGAGCGGAATATAATCTTCTTCTGACTGACACAAATCTCCGTCTTCCAACGCAGGTGAAAACGACGCTCATACACATCAATGATATCTGCTGTATTGCACCGTAATTCGGAGCACGGCGAGCGTGGCGTGTTCGCGACAAAGGCGATGTTTTATCCAGGCTGCAGGACGGATACCCGCCTAACCATGCCCAGAAGGAGGCTCCAACGACTACCGCACAGGCAACAGCAAGGTAAGTCGGCACCATGTAAGTCAAATACTGTATTACTTGAAACGACTGGAGGCCAATCAAATTTTAAAAAGTGCATGTACTCCGAACTTGAACAAATGCAAATCCTAGGGGTTCATTCAAATGTGTAAACCCAGTGTAGTGAACTGCGGTATGCCATTCCAGCTAACAAGACGAAAGCCCTTGGTCACACAATCCGTCAGCATCAGGATTGCTTTGGTGACCGTGACGAAGACATCAACACGATTCTCTCCGTAAAACACAGTTTACACATGATTTATGCCATCAACAGCAACTAGGTCAATAAAACCACATAATTCCAACATCGATACCTAATACAGCAGAGGCTGAGGGATATGCGGGACGATAACCCGACTCGAAAAGTTGAAGGTCTCTGCAAAAACGTCGACCGTTGTGAGCTACAGAAATCCTTCGCCGCCATCAAAGCTGTCTGCGGTCAACAAGACAAGGAAACTCTGCTACTGCTGAGGTTGGATGGAGCAACTCGCTGATGTGGAAGTCCCGACTACGGAAGCGCCGTGCCGCGCACTTTAAGGGTGTCAACAATTACCTGCTGGAAATATTCTAGATACCATCAACCGACTTACTCAGTTGTTCACCATCGATGATCTCGATCTTTCGCCCGCTATCCTTGAGAGAACCGAAGCAGTGCAACAGCTGTCCAGCGTAAAAGAATCAAGAGCAGACACGATTTCAGCCAACGTTTGCAAGTACAGTGGTCCACAACCGATAGAAAATCTTACATTACTATTCCAGAGGATTCGGTGACACGAACAGCCCCAAGACTACGAGGATCGTACCATTGTGAACATCTACAAAGGAAGAGAAACCGGCATAATAACAGTGACTTCTTTCTTCTCAGAGTCGCTGGAAATACTTCTGCTCGTGTCCACCTCGATAGTCGGAAAATGCATTTTAAAACGCGACTTCTTCCATAAACGCAATGAGGATTACGGAAAGACTCCGGAACAACACATCTAATCTTTGCGGCCCATCAATTGCAGGCAAAGTGACAGGTAATGAGATCCAACCTCTACACCACATTTGTCGATGAGACGAAAGCATTCGATACTGTGAACTGCTACAAATTCCGAAAAATCATGCTGAACTTCGAATGTCGTTAGCGAATTTATCAGATGTTAAGACAACTTCACGGCTATTTGATGGACGGCTTAGCGAAGAACGGGGAAATATCTAACGCACTCGGGGGAACTAAAGAAATGCCGCAGGGCTGCTTACTCATTCCACCCTACTCACCCTCATGTACTCCGCTATGGTAATGGACATCTAACACGAGCAGCGGTCGAGGATCCCCATCAACTACCAAACCAGCGAAAATTGTTCAATATTCGTCACCTGAAAGCACCTCCAAGAGTATCCAGGGCCAGCGTTCATGATCTACAGTGTGAGGATGAACGCCCTAA